GATGCGACATTTTAACGTATTTAGTGCACTAATTGCAATTCTAGCATCTCTTTGCATACCATTGATTCATTTGCCGCGTAAAATAAAATTAATTTCGACTTTAATGGCCATATTTGTTTTTGCACAGTAGCCACAGAATCTCCCGGTATTACATGTGAAATCTTAACCATGCTGAATCGCTTACACGAAATAACTGCTTATTAATATCATTTTATCGTGTAATAACGGAATATTACACGTGCAAATACAAATAAAATTCGATATTGATCGATTAATAACCAATATAAGTAACTTCATTACAACATACCTTTGAGTACGTTGTTAATTAAAAAAAATAAGTTTAAAGGAATTTTAGAAAAAGTGACACGCGTGTTCACAACGAAAATCTCACGTTGTCGTCGCAAAAAATGTTGATCCCAATTAAATAAATATATGAGCAGTAAAAGAATCGAATAGCCGCGAATAAGCGTTCTCCAGCGCGATCAACTGTCGCCGATATTCGGGCAAAGAGATTCCCAACATCGTTCAAGGCGATAAACACATTGCAAGCATATCGACGCGCTAATAAACGACACGTATTAAGACGAGATAAGCCGCGAACCCGTCTGTTCCACTGTTTACGGCTCGAAATCGGCGCGGGGTGCCAGCTGGAAAAATAAAGAGACACGCGTCGAACATGCGGGTTACGGTCGACGAACCAGCGTTACAACGTCACGATCTTCATCGTCATGTCTGATCGCAGTGTCATTCATTTATTTTTATTTTACAAGTAATTCTATAAATTCTTTTATCAATTTTTGAGAGCGCGTTTTCTTACGAACCGTCATTTAAAATGTAGATATCCGCGTACCAAATGCATTTTATATGCATTTTTATAGGGCGAAAATTATTCTGGCTCTGCCTCAGATTTGCATAATTCAGGACATAATCAATTATAGTATATTTAATTTCGAATATTGAACGATTGGAGCAAATATTCTCTCAAATTGTATATAAAGAATTTAAAAAATGAAAAATATTCCTCTGTAACGACTCCATCTGATCTTCATCGTCATTCCTGATCACAAGTGTCACTCATTTATTTTTATTGTATAAGTAATTCTATAAATTGTTTTATCAATTTTTGAAGGCGCGTTTTCTCACGAACTATCACTTAAAATATAGATCTGCATATCAAATGCTTTAATTATATATATTTTTATAAGGCAAAAACGATTCTGTCTCAGATTTGCATAATTCAGGATATAATCAATCGTAATATATTTAATTTCGAATGTTGAACGATCGGAGCAACGATTCTCTAAAATTGTGTGTATAAAGAATTGAAAAAATGAAAAATTCCTCTGTAATGACTCCATCTGATGCAAAAGAGGGCATAAACGTGTTTACACGTTTTTTTCCGCCGAACTTTTGGAATTATTTTCCGCACGCATCAACTGCGGACGCGGACCGGTTTATCGCGCGGATCCGGCCGGTTTATTAAAACCTCGCCTCGAGCTTCGCATCCCAAATATCTCGTTATCTATTATTCTGCGGCGCTCACGCGCGCGTATCAATGCGACGCCGCGCATCGAATATTTATGCGCGGGAGGAACGATAAATCGACCGCTACGTTGTACTCTCGATTCCGCGCGTCTCTCGATTTTCGTTTCGGCAATTTCGCGACTCATAACGCGGACATGACCCCGCTCAATCGCGCGAAAGCTCGGACGGTGTGGACCCAGATTATCGAGACCGAAATAAACTGCGATGTAACGGTCACGGTCGGCAATTAAATTTTAAGTACTTACGGATGCGCGCACGCTTGCAACCGAGTGCATCGCTCCTGCATCGCGAGCGTTTACGAGCGTTTATGGGCGCGTGGAGGATATTCCAGAGCATGCACAGTAGATGATGCTATCGTCTTGTCCGGCGATACGTAAAAGATAACTGTCAATTAGCAGTAAATTCGTAAAAGCAGCATCTGTGCGCGTCGCAGAATAATTCGATTTATATGGAAGTGACTCTTTTTTTTTCTTTAAATTGCAACAATTATTTATGAGACGTAAAATTTATTTACAATTTTTACATATTTCTTAGATAGAATGCAATTTCCCTTTCCGATGCAACGCGTCCATCTCACAATACGTGAGCGGATCTCATCCGTCCGTGTGGATTAGCAGAAATATCTGGATCGTCGCGTCCATCGATCACTTTTGTCACGGACCGCGCGAATTTATTTTCAGAGCGAGAGGAGATGAGAGAAGAGGGACGATCGTTAACGGCGCTAGAGGTGTGGGGCAGATACATCTCGCTTTCTTTTTGTTTTACCTTTTATTTATTTCTGTTCTTTTTCTTATCAAGTCCGCGAGACCACCTGTCGCTTTACGCCGGCAATTATGTTCTCGCGATTGCGAGCGCGAGCGGCGGAGCTTTAATCGGATCTCCCGCGATTTGTCGCGAAAGTTTGTCGCGAACGCGCGTTCCCAGGCAGCGCGGCACTTCTACGACGATATAAAAGAAACGTAATCGTCCAGGCCAACGAACAACCGTGGCCTCGGCTTCAGGGTCGTTTCGACTATTATCCCGCAGCAGTCGAGGATGCAGCAGAAACGCATCGCTCGGAGGCCGCGCGCTCGATGCTCCAACTTCGATATCGGAGTAATGTGCTTTGATGATCGAATTATTGATACCTCCTTTGTTATTTCGGTAATTTATTGACGTTGTACGTTCGACGTTACCTAATGATTAATTTGTACCGTGAAATCTAATTATAAGATTAATCAATAATTATAATATGTATACATATATTCTGTATGATTTTACATTCATGGATATTAATTAAGCGATTAGTTATGTTTTAGTTGATTTTGTATAATTAATTAGAGAATATGGAATAGAGAAAAATATCTTCGTATAATGAGATATTTAATTTTATGAATTACGTCGAACATATACACACATATTTATATTTAGAATTTTTGTATATGCATCCTCATAGTGATATAAACAAGAAAATTATATAGATTACGCAAGTGTTTATACACTGAAAAAAATTGTTAACTTTATTAAACCTTTTAACTAAATTACTGTAAATTAAACATATATTAGTATTTAAGTTAAATACATGTTTTGTTTAATTAACAACATATTATTTAGTTGAACGGTTTAGTCAAGTTAACAATTTTTTTCAGTATACATATATTTAAAATTTTTATATTTTTCTGGAAAAAGGTTAAAATTATATGTAGTTTTTTCTGAAAATTCTCTTATTAAAATTTGTGTCTCCTCCTTTATTAATGCTAAACATAATTGCTATTTATAACGAAAGAGCAGAAAAATCAACCGATAAATTAATATCGAAAGACAACTCGGAAATCGTTTATCACTTCGTTACCTCGCTCTTTTTGGGCGGGTATCTTAGAGTGACAGTTTGTTCACGGTATTCAAGCGATTCAAAATTCGGGAGGAAGTGGCCAACAACCGGGAATAAAGAAAAATACTATGTTCTAGATCCTGCGCCAACGAATAACGATCCCGACGAACGCGCCTCGCATCCCGTGACGGTATTAACCTCGCCGCGGGCACGTGTTCCGAGAGGAGCGAGTTCTCTTTTATTACTTATTAGCGACACCCAAAGCGCACGCTGGCTCCTCGCATCGCGGCGATGCGATTTTAATGATGCGTTTCAAGGTCTCAAGGTCTCTGCCACGGATAAGCTACAGGGTCATTGCCATCTGATCCCAGTGACAGCTTAGGTCTTAGCTAGAAGTTTCGATATCTGAAGGATGCTCGAAACATTCGGATTTTTCTAACTAATACAAAATGCGTTTCACAGCCTCACTCTGATCATCTATTAAATTTTTTTGCTAACTTAAAATTAATATTTTCTTAACACTCTTAGAATGACAAGTTTTAAAAAAATATCTGTCATAAAGAAGATGAGTTATCTCATTTTATGAGATTTATATTCAATTGAGAATCACATCACTGTGACTTATTTTTAAAAACGTATAATACAAATGTTATATTATTGTATAAGAAATTGTATAAGAAATGCATGCACGATACATAGTGAAATTTCGACGGCTCTGGCTCTTTCACACTGACGTCTCGTCAAGGGTATACGAGATCGAGAAACGAAAGAACCCGACACCATCGAGAGGTCAAGACGTCGTCATGCCGATGAAACGACAATTTGCAAGGTCCGCGAGCTGCGCTCGTAGACGGTGATACGAGCAAAGAAACCTTCGCGCGATGGTCAGGGCCACGAGGTTCTTGCGCCGAGAACGTTAATCTCGCGAACGCGCTACGTGATCGCGCAAACTGCACACGCATATATGTGCCTATGGACGTTGCATATGCATACAGCGCGGATTTTTTCCTGCGTACACTCGCATAATTATCGCAGAATCTGCGTAATCGTTATATTTTATTGAAGATACATTAGATTTCAAAAAATTGTATAATCGTAGAGAACCGATGAAACGAAATATATCGTGAGAAAAAATTCCAAGTGATTAAAAAAGGAATCAATAAATTCAATAAATATAACAATCGAAGGCTAGAAAATCTAAAAAGCACTCACCGTTTGATGTCTTCTTCTGCAATACATAATCAATTGATATTTCTTTATATATAATTATAAACTAAATTTTACTTTCTTTTACTATAAAGTATCATATAAAACAATGTTAAAATAGTGATAATAAATAGTGTAATCTTAATATTTATTTTAATCAAAGATTGTTCGAAGATTTTAATCAAAATCTAACTTCTATTGAGATATTTAAAATGTTGAGCTTTAAAAAATTACAGGAAAGAATAAATTTTCTCAAATTTTTCTTTAAAGAATGATCAATATTTTTTTCATTAAAATAATTATTCTTGAAAATGGTCACTAGTATTATAAAAATTATTCTTTATAAAATTGCTTTATAATGAAATTTTAATTTTATAAAATGTTAATTAATTTTTTTTTAATTTCTGCGACTTATTGAATATTTGTAATTTTGTTGCAGGGATCTTAAAATGGAAAACATTGTGCTGCAGGACGAGCGCAAGGAACAGATCAAGATAGTGGGTGAGAGGCAGTGTGTGTTTGTATTGAAACGACATATCACGCGGGACGAAAGAACGTTATGGTCGCGGCGATTGTAGCAATCGCCATCGATCGAACCGCGTAGATTAGCGTGTATCGCGAAAATCCCGACTATAATGTTTCCGCTCGCGTGACCCTTGATTTTCGAGCGTGAAATCAGATCTGCTTGTGCTCGACAAAAATCCGCATAAAAAATTGCAGTTGCGATAAAATTGGTCGCAATTTATATAATTATGCAGAATACGGGTACGATGCCCGTTATTCTTAATGACCCTCGACTGCTATGGCGAATCAGATCCTCATGCAGATATATTTTACAAAAATATCGAAGATATAACAAATAAAATAGAATATGAAATGCTTCATAATTTGTTGATTTTTCCTACTTTCAAAAATCAATAAGATATAGCGCGGTTTATTTTTCAATTTATTATTACTTTTCACAATTTATTATTTCTTATATATTAACGTGATTTATATGCGTATTTGATTTGATGTATGATAACTTCACACTCTAATTTTTAATTTAATTTAATTTTAATTTAATTTTACACAATTATTCACAATTTAATTTTAATAGCAATCTGATTTTAATAGCAATCGAAGGTTTGAAAATCTAAAATGCACTTACTGTTCGATGTCTTCTTCTGCAATCATAGATTTCGGTCTCAGCAACATTTACGCCAGCGATGATCCTCTGCGAACGCAATGCGGATCTCCGGAGTATGCTGCTCCTGAACTCTTTATCGTGGGTAAACGATATGGGCCGGAAGTAGATTTATGGAGCCTGTAAATAAAAAAACATACATATGTTAGATACGATATATAAATATTTGCAAGTTTCATGAAGAGTTTTTTATAAAAATATTTTTCTTTAAATAATTCATAAAAGTCACATACGTATATAGTGTCAAAAAATGCACTTGGACCATTTTGCATTTCAATTATTATACAGTATATTAACAATGTGCCGCAACATTTAAATATTATACAACAATATGACAAACAGAGGAGTCGTTTTGTACGGAATGACAATTGGTCGACTTCCGTTTCTGTGTCCTCGCGATCAATGGACGTCGTCGGAAGAACGTCGACGGAAATTGATGATTCAAATCAACAGGGGCTTGACGTCAATCCAAGAAAAAGCCATGTGTCAAACATCGATCGAATGCAGAAACCTAATAAGTCGCTTGCTTGTCCCATTAGCTCGCGAGAGAATTACTATTCTAGAGATCCTTGATCATCCATGGATTCTCACATCGTCGAAAAATAATCTTTGTCTTGAAGACGACTTAAACGTTTCTGATCATCACGCGGTAATGTATACAAGATGCTTCTTAATTTTCGATAATAATCGTGGAAAAAATTCAAAGAAGATATATAGAAAATACGATACATTATCTCTCTATACAATTCTTTCTAGATAATATACAATTTTATTTTTAATGTGTCTATTTTCATAATTATTTCCCTCCATTGTATACATTATACTTTAATACATATTCACAATGTCTTCTTAAAAACTGCAAACTTCTAAATCTGTTAATCTAATTTTCTTAAAATATTTCTATTATCCATAATACTGTATATTTTTAAATTTTAACAAATTTATGCACTTTATTTTTATATTAAAGCTTCTCTTATGTATTATATTATAGTATTATGCATTAAATTTTTCATCACCGCGTACTTTGCGATTTTTTTGATCAGTTTTAAAATATGCACCAATTAGTGACGCTATACGAAATGCCTGTGCAAGATGATTGCATTGCTAATTATTATAGATAATAAACGAGATTGCGACAGCAATGCGAACAAATGTGGCCGTTGTTGAGGCTGAAATAATAAGGCGAAAATACGGGGAAATTGGCGGCATGTATAATATCAAGTAAAAACACCAAACGATGTGAAAATTATTTCATAAGAAAGCACTGTTATATTATAATTATTTATATCTGAATGTATATCTTTTAATCTTAATAGAATGCATAAATTGCACCAAACAACCACTGCTGCTTATCAATTAACATCACGACTTCTTCGAAATTCCACATGTCAAATTGAAAATGTATCATCATCGACCATGTCTATCAGGTAACATAATTATTTAATTACTTAGAGAATACTATAAATAAATCTTTCAACTTCTATTTTAAAAAAAATATTTGAAAAATATTTTGTAAAAGTTATAACAAGACTATTGTTTCAAAAATAAAAATAAGCCCAAGCACTTGTCTGATTTATCATTTTTTGTAACGAATAGCTTATTTATTTTATTATTCATAATTATATTTATTTTTTTTCATTATAGTATTGTATATAAAGTAATAAAAAAATTGAGACACCCTGGATATATTTGCATAAAATATAAAATGTTTTTTTATAAAAAAAAATTTCTTTTCATATATTAAAAATAATGTATTATTTTAAACAAAATATAACTTTATACTATGAAACTATATAATTATCCAGAGATATATCTTATTTCTCTACATTTATATAGAACAATGAAGGTCAATTATCGAAACGGTACATCCAAAAATTCTGACAATACGGATCGCATAATCGTTATGCGACGCGGCCAGGTGCAAGAGCGGTCGGACAAGCAATCCTCATTACACGGTTCCACGACATGGAACTGGCGGTGCCGCTCCGGAAACGGAAATCGCTCTTCCGAAGAGCGGAGAAATTCCGTAAAATTCGACTTCTTTTTATTTTATCTTTCTTATTCCAATTATTATGATTATAATAATTATATCGTATATTTCTTAGTACATTGTTAATTTTTTGTTTCTTTAGAGAATTCGTCACGAAACATCTATCGTGAACTCATCTTTATCGCCCCAGCAACATTATATACCGCAAATTTTAAAAAGTCAGGACGATAGAATTTCAGATCGACGATCATATAGGTATTTTCTTAAGGAACACTAAAAATATATTTATATTTTTATATTTTATACTTATTACTATTTTTGCCAAAAGGACAATTAATTGTTATATTGATTATAAAAATAGAAACGAGACACATCAATCGAAAAATTCCACGTCCTATATCAATTCTAAAAAAATGGGAAAGAGCGAAAGTTTCGCTAGAAACTGTAAGAACTATGAAATAAGCCCTAGTCCTTCAAGTTTGCAAACCTATTCGCGTGTTAGCAGCGAAAGCATGCCTACTTCGCGAAATAAAGTAATCATTTATATTTAAAAAAAATATGTACTTAAAACATAAAAATTAAAAATATATAAAATTATCTTTATAATACATATTTATTAGAAAAAATAATATTGATGAAGCAATTATTTATTTGTTCAATCTCTCTTTTCATGTTCAGCTTTTAATTTAATTATGCAATATTTTTCAGGAAAGCTTTCATAAAAAAATTCTTACTCCACAATGGCGATATCGAGTTGCAAGTGCGAAAATTAGAAGAAATATGTAAAAATTGAAATATTTTTGAAATGGTTGGATAATAATAACGACGTTATTATTTTCTCTAGCGAATACTGCTATTGTATAAATATATATACGTCTATTGAAAATTAATTTCATTAAATTTCTCGGATATATTCTATTATTATTTAAAAATTTTTGATTACTTATAGCAAAATTATTCTCATCAAAAAGTTATTCTGTTTTATTTTTGTTTTCACGTATAATATATAGAATAATCTGTACGTATGATTAATAAACTCCAATAAATACTAATAGCAGTGCATAGGTAATCTCAAATGCATCCACAAAAATGTGACTGATATTTATATAATAATCAATATAAATACCTCAATTAAAAATGTTCCAACGCCGACTGCTTCATTTTCCAATAAAGTTGATTATTTTTATCGTTTCTCAGCTTCTCTCCCTCGTTTGATATTTATTCGCAAATATAATAACGAAACATGCTCATACGTCGCTTTCTGTTCGAACTGTATAAGAAAACGAATACAAATTTCTATATTATTTTTTTATATTTTCACGTATAACATATAGAATAATCTGTACATATGACTATTAAACTTCAATAAATACATTGATGCACATATATATTAGAATCTCAAATATATCCCTCTATAATATGCAATTGATATTTATATAATACTTAATATGTATATAAATACCTTAATTTAAAATGTTTCAACGACGATCATCCCATTTTTCAATGTAAAATTATTTAGTTTTATTGTTTCCTAGCTTCTTTTCTTCCTCTAATATTCGTTTACAAATATAATGTGAAATATGCCCATACGTCGCTTTATTTTTGAACTGTAAGAAAATGAATACAAATTTCTGTATTATTTTTTTTATATTTTCATGTATAACATATAGAATAATCATACGTATGACTAATAAACTTCAATAAAATATCATATTGATGGATATATTAAAATTTCAAATATATCCCTTCACAATATACAATTGATATATTTATAATAAAAATTAATATACATATAAATACCTTAATTAAAATATTGCGACGACTGCCCCATTTTTTAATATAAAATTGGCTAGTTTTACTTCCTAACTTCTTTTCCTCTTCTAACATTCGTAAATATATGCTCCTACGTCTCTTTATATTCGAACTGTAAGAGAACGTATGCAAATTTCAGTGCATCAAAATATACAGTCGTACAATTAATTTTATTTTGGATTCAATATAAGTACTTACATTTCGGAGAAGAAGAAAGATGTGCAAACAAGTGCGATCAAAAACCAAACTAGCAGGAGTGGAGAAGGGAAAGAGTAAAACGACTGCAAGAATAAAATTAGGTTAATTAATAATCGATGCAATCCGCGGAGGAACCAAACGATTAACATTAAATATCAATAGAAAAGTATTGTACCATAAGTTGTTTACCTTGTGAGCTGTACATTAAAGCGTCGAAAGGTTATAAAACAGTCTAAAAGCTAGGAGACGCGAAGAGACGCGTTCGGAGCGAGAAGTTTTTGAAACCAAAATGGCTGGCGGGGAAGGTGAAACTGCTGCGAGAAAAGAAATGTTGGTTAATCGATGCAATTCGCGGAGGATCGAAACGAATATCATCGAATACCAATAGAAAAGTGTTATACCATAAGTTTCGTATTTCCAGGTTGCCGATTAAAGCGTCGAAAAATAATAAAATGTTCGAAAAACGAGGAGCTGCGAGGAGACGCTCTCGACGCGGGAGCCGAAGGAAAGCGAAAGGACGAAAGCGCGGGAAGACGCGGACGTGACGAAACGGCGGACCGCCTGAACGGAGGAACGGAACGAGCGCGCGCGATTCGAACGGCGAAATCGCTGATTGGCGGAACGCGCGAGTCCCGACCAATCAGAACGGACCACATGGATATGTTCGAGTTATCGCTCCTCGGTGATGGGAGATGATCGCGACGCGTCACACGAGTATTCACAAGTATTGTCAAGCATGTCAGGGCTCGCTATCGACTGTAAATTCCTGGAAAATCACCGCGCGGAAGGATGCTGTCGACATTTACGTGCGTCTACAACTACGTACATCTGTACTATGGAAAGGCTGTTAACGTGAACGCTAAATACAAGAATGCCACGAACGGTATGACACCGAATCGTTTTGTCATCTCCTTCGTCTTTATTTCCGGAATCGCGGTTGCTGTCGTCTTTGCTTTACTGACGCAATATCTACGTGGCTTGATAACTAATTACAAGGGTGAGTAAAGTTGATAAACGTATCTACTCGTATAATGCAGATTTGCAGGTGGGGTTAAAATATCATTTATTGGAATATTTTGTGCATATTGTGATAAGAACAGAAAGTTGATAATTAATTTCGAACCTTTCTTTCAGAACATGAATTCCGTCAGGTGTTTGTACCACTTCCCCCAGCAAGTATTATGGATATCAACGATGACAACTCGCTTGCTTTTGCATTGGATAGCACTGAACTCGATAAGGTGCAAGTTCAGACTACTGCGACAGCGACAGCAGAGGCCCTGACGTCTCTACATCTAGCAATGGAAATGAAATTATCTGGAAAGCAAAAGAAAGCTATAAAATTGTTTCAACATGCTGTAGCATTAGCTCCTTGTCATCCAGATATTTTGAATCATTATGGAGAGTTTTTAGAGTATACTCAGAACAATATAATCAAAGCTAATGAATTTTATGTACGTGCTTTAACTTATGAACCGAATCATGAAAGTGCTTTGATAAACAGACAAAGGACAGCTCGTGTAGTTGAAGAGCTTGACAGAATAATGCTTAGACGCATCGATGAGAAAAGGAATGCACTATCAATGATACCTGATAACAACGTCGCACTAATACGTGCTAAAAAGGAGGCTTACTTTCATCATATTTATCACACAGTTGGAATCGAGGGAAATACTATGAATTTGGCACAAACAAGAGCCATAGTTGAGACACGCATTGCAGTTGATGGAAAGAGTATTGATGAACACAATGAAATTCTTGGATTAGATGCGGCTATGAAATATATCAATGCGACCTTGGTCAATAGGTAAGTTTTTAATAATTTTATGAAAAAATGTAAATATCCTGTTTTAAGTGTTGTTACTATTCTAATATTTATATGTAAATGTTTCAGGGTAGGGTCCATTTCTATAAAAGATATATTAGAGATACATAGACGCGTATTAGGACATGTGAATCCTGTCGAAGGTGGTGAATTTCGAAGAACTCAAGTGTACGTTGGTGGCCATATACCTCCAGGTCCAGACGATATACATTATTTGATGGAGGAATTTGCATTATGGTTAAATAGTGAATCTGCCATTCGAATGCATCCTGTGAGGTAAAAAGAACTTTTATTTTACATTTATTAGTTGCTTTCCATTTACATCAAAACTCAGATAAATCTCACTTCTGTCTTTCTTTAACATGGATGTTGAAGAAAGCCATAAGTAATATTTATCTGAGTTTTAATGTAAATGGAAAGCAACTATTGTGTATATCTTTTCTCTCGCATGTACTTCTATGCCAAGATTATGTTCAAAATTTTAATCCAGTTTGTTTCGTAGATATGCGGCTCTCGCACATTATAAATTAGTACATATACATCCATTTGCTGATGGAAATGGTAGAACATCCCGTTTACTTATGAATATGATTCTTATGCAAGCCGGATATCCGCCTGTTATCATCCACAAACAACATCGTCATAAATATTATGAAAACTTGCAAATAGCAAATACTGGAGATGTGAGACCATTTGTAAGGTTTATAGCGGAATGCACGGAACAAACATTAGATTTATTCTTATGGGCAACTAGCAAATTTTCTCAACAAGTTCCTGCTCTGAGTCAAGAGACTCTATTTACCGAGAAGCATAATACGATTATTTTGGATGACAAGAGCAGCGAAATGATTGAAAACGATTGAAAAGTAAGAATCAATTCAAAATCTAAAATATTTTTGAGACCAAAGAATGTTCAGTGTTATTTATATTTGATATCATTATTTATTAATAATTTTAACCTTTAACTTTAAACTCGTGTAATTTAAAGTTTAAAGAATTTACATAACCATAAAAATGATGATATTGAATAATCATTAACTCATAAAATGATAAACTCATTCAGAAGTAAGAGATTACTATACATATATAATATATATAAAACTAAAGCATATCGCTCTTATTTAATATTTAATTTATAAAAATGTGATCGTAGTATTTAAAAATTGCCGATTTATTTTATTGCATATCCATGTAAATACGAATCTTCCATTGTGCTGTACAAAATATGAATTAATTTATAATATTTATAAAGTGTACATATAATAGAACAAAAATATAAATTACATCAACCCTAATATTAATTAGAAACAAATTAATATATGCTGCACATTATTTATGCAATAAAATAATGTAAGAGATATTTTTTTAAATTAAAATTGCATAAAAATATTCGAATTTTCAAAACTACACTGTTGTTAAAAGGTCACATTGTTTAAAAGATCCTAAACATTAGATTGATAGAGAGAAACTTACATTTATATTTATTAATTATTAATAACACATTTATAATTCCATCTAACAATAAGCTAGAAGACAAAAACAATCTGCATATAAATTTCAAATCTGGCGCGCGTTAGGTCAGATAGAACAGCTAATAAACATGGCGACCGGAAGACTACATTTCTAGTGATTTTAGGGGACTGGTAAATTCGTGATCCGATTGGCTGATCCCGCGGGAAGCATCTAAATTCTCTATGCGACAGCCAATCGGCGCGTCCGCCAGACTCGTCATTACGACAAATGAAATGTCATCCTTTACGTTGTCGCAGGTCCCGATACAAACGGAGCAACGTTCAAGTCGTTCGACGTAATCCGGCGAGTAAACATTCGCCGTAGTGTCGCCGCGCCGAGAGGATGTTTACGCGCTGAGTACATTTAGCGGATGGTTCGCGTAATCTACGAGCACACGAGCCGCGCTATTGCGGGAGCGAGTGGGAAGCGAAACGTCACGTCAACTACGACGGAGTCGGAGCATCCTCCAAGTTACCCAGAAAAATCGGAGGGGACTCGTAGTACGCATTTCCACGTCCCCATTGACGGCGGGTGATCGTCTCGTCGTCGTCGATCGCGCGAGAATGGCAGCGGAATTGCGATCGAGGGACACGAGGGAACGTGAGTACGGAAATGCGTGTGATCGAATCGCGGACGCGATATCGTCGTCGCGTTCCCGGAATCGCCACCGGACACCCCGCGCCGCCCAGTAGTCGAAGTCGGAGCGCAATCGATAACCCCACGGGCGCTTTTTGCGCTGGGCGAGAGATCGTAATGGCGAGAGCGTGGCGTCGAGGGCGCGAGAGAGAGACGCGGGAGAGAGAGAGAGAGAGGAGGGGGTTGGAGTGGGGGGGGGGAGAGACCGTGGTAAAAACAATGCCGAATATTGGCAAGGAACAACGCGTAAGAAGTGAACGAAAGCGCGTACTTTCGCGTACCGATTCGCGCCGAGACGGGGTGTCTGGAATCTGTCTGTGCGCGTGTGTATATATGTGCACTTCCGGTGCGCGGCAGTTTTTTTTTTTACCGCTCCGAGATTTCTTCGCCGACTGTATCTCTCTTGCGCGCCTCTCTCGAATAGCGTAATTAACCTCGCGCAACACTCATGTCGGATTACACTGTCCGTGTTTGCGTCGAAGATTTGATTTGATTTCTACAAGGTATTGCGGAGTAATGAGTCATGCTTCATGAATTGTGTATCGATGAATAATGTGTGAAGCTGTCAGGATGAAAAAACGATGTGACACCACTTTTTCAAGTCAATTAATGCTATCTAGATTATTTTCATATTTTTTATGGAATAAAATTTTATTTTAAAATTGTAAATTTTTATATTATATTGAGAAGAATCGAGTCTTGTATTTTTTTAATATTGCGCGAAGTTTTTCATTTCTAAACTCGTGTATTTTCATTTAAAAAGTTTCAATATTTATGGGATTTTGTTGTCTTTGTCAAGGAATTGACGTAGCGGTGGGAGGAGACATGCCAAAATATCACATATTCTTATAAAAATAGCATCACAAAAATTCGAATCGGTGGACAGACGATGCGCTTGAATTCGTGCTTTATCGAATATTGTATACAATAAACTTTTTTTTTTTTTATTTTAATTTAATGAAGAAAAATTTTTTAAAGTAAAACATAAATAGAAAAGTATTTTTTTAAATTTCAAATCTATAATGTAATGTTCTAAACACTGCAATTTGAGAAGTGAATAATTTTGTTAGAATTTTAAATAAATGATTATATATATATATATATACATATATATATATATAATATTTTAAAATGGAAAATAATTATCAATATGCGAGAAAAAATAATTTTGAAGTCAAATAGAAAAAAATTTTTTTCCATTTTTTTTCAAAATTTTATTAAGAAATTTGAACATTATTTGTATGATTTCAGATTGCTGACAAGAAGATTCTCTTATAATAAATGTGGACAAAAATATTATGTATAGAAGTCACTTTTAAATAATTACCTTCAAATATGGATGATGAAGAAGGAACCTCAAGTTCTGGACCTATGTCTTCATTGAATAGTTTATTCTCGTTCACCAGTCCCGCTGTGAAAAAATTACTTGGATGGAAGCAAGGGGACGAAGAGGAGAAATGGGCAGAGAAAGCAGTTGACTCGTTAGTGAAGAAATTAAAGAAACGCAAAGGAGCAATTGAGGAATTGGAGCGAGCATTGAGCTGCCCTGGTACACCAAGCAAATGCGTAACCATTCCTCGAAGTTTAGATGGTAGACTCCAGGTTTCCCACCGTAAAGGCTTGCCACATGTGATATACTGTAGAGTCTGGCGATGGCCAGATCTTCAGTCACATCATGAACTAAAACCATTGGAGTTATGTCAATATCCATTCTCCGCTAAGCAGAAAGAAGTTTGTATTAATCCATACCACTATAAAAGAGTGGAAAGCCCAGTGCTGCCGCCGGTATTGGTTCCTAGACACTCAGAATATGCTCCTGGCCACTCTTTGTTGCCTTTTCAACAACTGGCCGATCCAAGCATGCCGCACAATGTTTCCTATTCGTCTAGCGGCTTCAACGCCAGCTCTACAGGCGGCGTCAATCCGACATCGCCCATGTCTTCTGTCGGTTCTGTGCCAAGCCCAGGAAGTACGACCTTGCCGAATCCTCAGAGCCCGTATGGTACTAATGGATTACCAGAAACGCCACCGCCGGCATATTCTCCGCCGGAAGACGGCTCGCAAACCGGACAAACCTCATCGTCGGATTCGGTTCCGATGGACACTACCGCGCCCATCGAATCAGCTACACCTGTGTGTTATCAAGAACCACCTTACTGGGCCTCGATCGCTTACTACGAATTAAATTGCCGAGTAGGCGAGGTGTTTCACTGTCAAACGCATTCGGTGGTTATTGATGGCTTTACTAACCCGAGCAACAACTCCGATCGTTTCTGTCTTGGACAATTGTCCAACGTAAATCGAAATTCCACAATAGAAAACACAAGGCGACACATAGGCAAAGGAGTGCATTTGTACTACGTTGGGGGTGAAGTTTATGCCGAATGTCTCTCAGACTCGGCAATATTTGTACAATCTAGAAACTGTAATCACCATCATGGATTTCATCCCAGCACAGTTTGTAAAATTCCACCGGGATGTTCATTAAAGATATTCAATAATCAGGAATTTGCTCAGCTTCTTTCGCAAAGTGTAAATCATGGCTTTGAAGCTGTCTATGAGCTAACAAAAATGTGCACGATTAGGTAATTCATAATATTTTAATACAGTATACAGTAATATTGTAATAATATACATAACTCATGTAACTAAAATATTTTTTTGTTTACAGAATGTCTTTTGTAAAGGGGTGGGGTGCTGAATACCATAGGCAAGATGTTACATCAACCCCATGCTGGATTGAAGCACACTTGCATGGCCCTTTGCAATGGTTGGACAAAGTGTTAACACAGATGGGTCCACCCCATAATGCCATAAGTTCAGTGTCATAAATAATATGCACGCTCTACAACAAAATGTTTATTACGAGAAAAGGACAATTAGTCACAATGCACTTTCAAGAGTCTAAGGATATTGGCCAGAATAATTGCCACAAGTGTGAATTATGGAGCCCACATGTTTGACAACGGCTACAGCTGTAAGTTACTTTATGTTATACCAATATTAAATTCATGAAAATAAGACGATGAAAATAAGATAATGAAAATAAAATATGTAATGTTTGAAAGAAATATAAAATATTATGAGAATGTTACGTAAAAAAAATATTTAACAGTGATCTCTGAAAATTATCGTGATTGCGTAATGTATACTTAGATGCTATATAAAACTCTTTGGCTGTTATATAGAAAAAGAATTATACATATAAAAGCATAATGATATATGTATAAAAAAAAAGAAATATTTTTCAAACCTATGCATCAGCCTAATACTTTATTTTATATGAAAATTTATTGTGAAGGGTATTTGTCAGTGTTATGCTATAAATCTTTTTCTAGACAATTTTAAATTTTATTGTGATGATAAAAGAAAAAAAGAAATACAACGCAAAATTACAACTGCTTGACAAAAAAAATTTTTCCAAATTATGGGAAAGGAACGAAAAAAATATGTTTTGTCCTCCCGATAATCTAATGATTGTCTATTCTGTGTGTTTTAAAAATACTTTTACGTTTAGAAACGTAAATATCGATTATAAATCTATTCAAATTTCTCGCTAAAACGATTGATGATGTAGCGCAGTCTTTTACTGAAAAATAATGCGATCTGTATTTCAATGTAAGAAATTGGACGTTGATCTCACGTTGACTGTTGGAAGTTAACTGCGTCCAATGATATATTGAAACGTCGAATACATTAATTCGTAGAAAGAGATTTATGATTCATGGCCTTGCTCCATCTCTATAGAAATTACATTGCATTGTACTCTTTTCGATTATCGCATCATGTACCATATAAGATTCAACGCTTTCCATATTACAATTCCTGAAAACACATTACACATTTAGATAAGTTTTATGTGTCATAAATATATGAAATTTGATGTGTTGTATAAATTCTATATGGGAGAATTGTATACACTTGTATACGTGTGTATACAAGTGTGTGTTTAATGAAGAAGTCATCTATTAGTAAGTTTATACCTTGCTAGATGAGAGACGTTATTTTTATGAATTGGAGTTGCTCTTGATATTACTTTGTTTGTTACTTTTATATGCTGCAAAAGGTGCCAAAAAGAACGGTATATATTCGCATAATACATTTAATTTATGCACTGTGATATTTTGTCAAAGAGATACAATTCTTTCTAATCACGTTCCCAAAGTAATCACAAATCAAGTAACTTGAAAATACATCGATGCCTTTGAATATGTTAGCTGTCAGATATTAACAGTGCCTATATAGACAATACTATCTTTTTTCACTGCCGTTTGCTGTCACTTGTTTGCCGATATGTGCCTAGCTGTGATTCTTTGCTATTCGATTTAACAAATTTACAATTCGATGATAAACAAAAGAAAGTACGAGGGAGAATAAAGTACTTGCCTAATTACAATTCCGTGATAAACAAAAGAAAGTACTAAGAAGTAAGATATTTGCCTGATTAACAATTAAGTGATAAGGAAAGTACGAAAGAGTAAAATGTTGTAACTTACAATTGCATTATATTAAATATGTGTGACGTGTGTATGACGAGGAAAGATTAAATTTCAAGTTGAACAGAATACTGTTCGGTACAAACATTAATGTCAACGAAATGCTACTTTATTCCGTATTGCATAATATGGTACAATTGTACAAGCGATGGAGACAATAATATAATCGACGATTATAAAAAAAGGATCAAATGTAAAATACATTTTTAATTCATTGTAATTATGGCAATTTATTGTTTGATATAATGATAAATAAAATTAATTGAATCGACTTTTGCATGAAGGAATCCATCAGCTGATAGATATCTTGTATCAAAAGATAAAATAAGTGTAGAAAAGAAAACTGTCATGTGTATGTAAAACCATTATGAATTTTCTTTCTAAATTTATTCCTTCCTGCAGAATGTGATTCAATTGTATCTGAAATTTCTATCGACATATACAGACTAATTAAAAATCTTTTATAGTGACGATGCTGCATCATAATTCGCGTCGATAAACTATCGAACAGCTAACCGATTAGAATGGAGTTACGAGATCTTTTACGAACACATTGAGCTCTATTACGAGTTTGAAATTGAAATGAGCATGATGTACATTATTGTAAGATGTATGTGAATAGTTTCTCATATGTAAGATTAGATCTACAGCTTGTATCTCTCACCAGTCATTTTCTTGAAATCTAATTGAAATCGCAAAACCCGTTTACAAAGCAACCTGAACCTTTTTAATCCTAATTTTCGAGACGAGAGATGTATTTTCTTTTTTTCAAATTGGCAAAAATTCAATTTAAAATTTAACGTTCTCGAAAATTGATAGAGCACTGTTATTTTTTGCGTCGCCTAAGTTTGTGCCTTAAATGCCTTTTATATTACATAGCTGTAAGATATAATATATGTAATTTCTGAATTATGTGTTGTGAAATAGCTAGAGATCTGCGTGTGTTATATATCCAAAAATGCACAAACATTTTACCATTCGGAAAAAAAGAAGATTGTAAAAATTCCCTCGATTGTGTCTACTCTTGTAAAATAAATATATAGCTCTATATATACTGCATTTGTACTGCAGCGTCATATTATAACACACGTAATATTTACGCGTTAGCATGAAACATAATTGTCTAATATCGAGTTTTATTTATCTAGTGATTGCATTTGCTATAATTATACGATGTGAATCAGATTTTGAGTTGTGAAGATTACTTTCAAAATTACCGCGTGCCTTGAAAACATTAAAGTATAAAAAGAACTGAGCGTCTTTGCAAGCGTAGATTGCTACTAACAAATAAGCAATTAAAACTAGAGCTTGTTGTTTTAAATATGAATACTTTAAATACGAATTCATATTCATATTACATCTGATAATTATATATATTAATGTAATGAAAATATTTTTTACTAATCTATTAATAATTGTATATTTTTAAATCATTTTCGTGTCACAGAATACTTTAGAAATTCGTTCATCGGTTCTGATATAGAAGCGCTCGGTTCCTTTTATAGAAAAGCTGCCTATTAATGTAAAGGCCGTGAAGAATAAATAGATGAGCGATTAAAATGGGAAAGAATAATTTGAAAACGGGCTCGCGATATTCCAACACCTCAATAGCTATAACATACATATATATTATGCATATTACATATATATTATATATATATATATATATATATATATATTTATATATATGCATATATGTGTGTATACTGTATATGGTAAAAGCACATCTTCAGAGAGAAAGAGAGAGAATTCATTCCATGTTAAATATCGTTAGAAAAGATAACTGCGAATTTTTCCCTCTTGCGCGATTTCTCAGTATGCTCATGTGGCTACATCGTGTTCATCATCAACTATCAGCGCCGATGTAGACACACGAGCTCTTCTATCTGTACAGACTACTCTTCTGCAAGAGAATGAGTTTGTTTCATAGTTATCTCAAGACTATATAAGTGTTAACGCGCATTAGCCATGCTAAGTATGGTGTGTAATATATTTTATTTCCTTTTTAGCACTCTTCTTTGTGGTAAAAAAAGACATTTTATGTACAAAGCACGGTATTTTAATCGCATATACATAATGTAGAGTGAAATAATAGAGAAAAAAAACATTTGTGTTATATGTAACATGTTATATACGCGATAAGAAATCGACAAACTAGTGTAAATGATTAGTCTAGATCACATATACAGAGTCTGCTCCATTATCAAGAAAGTATTGAAATGTCTAATGTGTATACGTTCCGGCATTAATCAAGCACAAACATTTTGTGTACCAGTAAACATTTTCGTCATCATAGCTTGGAGAAGTCGCTTGTGCGAAATTTTTAGATGCCTGGCAGAGAATGTGTCCACGAGATGCCGAGAACTTTTTAGGATAAATTCTTCGTGATCAGCTGTGTGTATTATATATATATATATATTTATATATAATACCGTTCGATATACAAAGTTATTCGCTCGGTCTCGTTTACACGCCTTCACTTGTCTATACATGCATTTCTGATAATTATTGTCTTGTGCAGCTCTATCCAATACGAAATAAAATGCCTACCTGTGTATCTCTATGTGCGATTAAATATGATTGTATTCGTTCCATAATTTCGCGTTTGACGGTCCGTTCTCCATCCTAGATTCCTTCATCGATGATATACCACATTGAAAAGTAATAATAAAACTGAGAAAAAATTAAATTAAATCTAATAAAATTAATTTCTATAAATATAAAATTAAATGCGAACAAAGAGATTTAAAAATACAGGAAATTATAAGAATACTTACTGTATGAACAATTATTTAAAATTAATTCTTCTGCTTGTATATTCCTTTTTCAATATCTTATTGAAGTAAGTTGATCGGGATGAGGAGCGTATTATAATATCCATTTTTCAATTTGATTTATTTCATAAAGCAACAACGTGAAATTTTTTATACGTATTCAAAATCTTTCTGTGCACATCGAATTGGAATAGTTCAGAAATCGATTAAGTACGACATACAGTGGAAATAGGCGGAGGAAAGACAGAGTAAAGGGATACGTGTCGTGTTTGATTTACTCGTCTCCTTCCGCATAAATTATATTAGATTATAAAAAAATAAGAAGTATATTAACATCTTTCAGATATTAAGCTTTGTCTCTATATCACTACTCTTGTTAAAAATACTATATCCGCGCGCACTCGCACGGGATGATAAAACGCGATTTTTCATGATATGCAAAAAGCTAACAAAATTTCTTTAAATCTCGACAATGGAACTACTGATATATGCCTGAGTTACAACAGTCGTAAACTGCATTGATAGTATTTAATATTTATTAATATTATATAATTATATAATATTAGATACTTAATATTAAATATATAATATTAAGTAATTATATAATATTAGGATATAATTTTAGGTATCATTGAAAAACGTAGCATCAGATATGTGAAGAAAAATGTTGATTTTTTCAATTAAATAAAGTATGGTACTAGTATGAAGTCACAGCTTCAGATTACATAATACTCTCAATAAAGATTAGATTAAATTAGAGAATGCAGTCGGCGGAAAATATAACTACTTTTGATGATTTAACAATAATTTTAAACAATTTCTTTACAACACACTCTTCGCGCTATAAGTATTTTATTTTTATATATAAATCGTATTTTCTTGTCAACACAGAAATACTCCGTTACTCTTATCTCCGCGTTATTTTTATTTTATTTATCTATCTTTAAGCTTCGAGAGAGAGATCTCGAATAACTTTTTCCTCAATTATAATAGAATAGTTATATGTTCCTATAAGTTTACAAAACTGAGCGTACACATGATCATTTTGTCGCGGGTCTAGAAGGATTTTACGCGTACGTAGAAGAATGGGCATTTAGAATAAAATTTTCAAGAGAGAAATTACAGTGGATCCGCGTTATATTAATTTTTATATCTTCTATTGTCTAGAGTGTGAGATTGTAGCGAGATTTATTTCTTTACAATTATTTTGGTGATACAATATCTTTAACAACGCGCGATTACACTCCTAGCCACCATTCAATCTATACAAATTACATAGCATGATAAATATTTACATTGAATTATAACTCATACCGCGAAAGGTACAATCATTACTTAAAATATTTCAAAAATTCATTGCTTTCTTTTCTTCGTAAATATGCTGAACACTTATTTTGTGAATGTTTGACTTTCTATAATTTATTTAAAAAAACTATATTTTTGACTAAAATGTATTTTCTTCTTCTTTATATATTAATTTTAAATGTAATTTTATTAAATATTGTACCACCATTAATTGTCGTAATGCATTTAAAAAAAATGTTAAAGATCGAAACAAGATAAGAATAAATTTCATCTTATATCTTGTGAAGCAAAAAATTTGATCAGTTTTTAAAAGAAAGCGGTAGAATCCATAGAATATGAAATTCATAAATTTTACCTCAATCAAACTATAATCATAATAAATATTAATGATATTCTATTAGACGTTCGCAGTAAAACTTACGCATGTTAGAATGAATCACTCTGTGATTCAGTAGAGTAAGGAAAAAAACACAAGAGAATATGCGTTGACAAATCAAATGAAAATTTTAATCTCATATTTTTAATTACGTAAGAAAAAAAGTGAACCGTTTGATGTGCCGTCGACGATATTAATACTAAAAAACTTAAACATCCGAACTTGGATGAGCGCTGCGCTGTGCAGTTTCTTATATTCTAAGAGTTACATTTTTTTCGAAATCAGTCGTTATTTGGTTTACGAATGTCGTCCATAACTATGCGCGTGTATGTTATGCATTTGTGTATCTGCGTGTATGGATGAGTGTGTGTATCGCCATGATATACATATTTCCATTCCTCCTTGGCAAATCGACATACTAAGGTTTTTCCTGTTTGTCCAATATTATTACTAGGTCCTCCGTAATAACACCTAGCATTCTATAGTCTAAAACTGTGTGTTAATCTGATTTCATAGCTTACGCATTATTATTCTTGATGATACTTTGCATTTCGAAGACGGACAAATCGTGTACACGAGTACGTATCGACGGCTTCAAATTTCTACGGTAGTCTTGGTGCGGCCCAAAAATGTGTAAAACGCGCAAGAATATGTTTTAAAAACATGTAATTAGATACTGGTGAAACTTGGTTTACTTAACTAAATAAAAAAATTGTATATAATAAGAGTATCTTGTGAACGATTCAATCACGATCACTCAAAATTTCTTTACGGTTCCAAACTAAAAGAAACACGAAAAATTCTGACTAAAAATTCTCCGCCATTTTTCGCAGAGACGAATAAATCCAATACATAAAAACAAAACGAAAAAAACAAAAAGTTCGACTTGTATAAAATTCACCCTAGCGATCCTGTACTATATAAGTGCGTGAAAAGCAAGTATACATGCCATTACAGTGCGACATATGAGAACGCAAGTAACAAAACTACGTCTTGCCTTTGAAATTGCTACAAAAAGTATATCGACGAGAAAACAAGCTCGATTACTATAAAATCCAGCCTAGCGATCCTGTATTATATAATGATTCTTTTTGAATGATTCTGTGAGTGAGACAGAAGAGAGAAGTCTACAAGAAAGAGTACATATAAATAATAAAAAAAATTAAATTTTAAAGTATATATAATAAAATAATGAAAATAAAATTCGCAAAAACAAAAACTTGATTTCTCTTTTTACGAATTCTTATAGAATTCTTTTTCTACGCTTCTCTCTTCTGTTTCACTCAAAGAATAATTCAAAAAGAATCCTTATATAGCTAAGGTGAATTTTATACGAGTCAAACTTCTTGTTTCTCGTCGATGTACTTTTGATAACAATTTCGAAGACAAGATGGAATTTTATTACTTGTGTTCTCATATTCATCGCACTATGTCATGTATACTTGCTTTTCACGCGCTTGTAATTTTAAAGATCAATACACACATTAGAAGCGGGTTTTTCTCATTGATGAGAGAGAGAGATAATTACTTTTGTGTCTTTTTTCGTTTCGCAATCGTTAAAGTATCAATCTTAATTGTACCGCGTTGTAATGTTGCGCGTTCGGGTCATCTTCTGACTGATTTGTTCCTCCTGTAAGAGCTGCCCGCGGAACTGGCTGACTTGATCGAGAGCGGCATTGAGGATGTCACGTTGCTGTATTAGCAACTGTTCCCATTTTTGGACATATGCTGCAACAGATAACACGCATACCCATCAGAGCACCCAAGAGCATGATTAGACACATCGCATAATTAAGGATTAAATCAGACATAGAGATGATGTATTACAAATGAAGGATGGAGAGCCTATTCTCCCAGCTTTATTTTAGCATTATATTTAACTTTACAGTATTCTTCTTAAAACGTAGTTAAAACATACATTTATCACATCGAGTTTTATTGTTCTGTGTAAGTTCACTTTAGTTCATCTAATCGAAAATAATTAGTTCCTTAATCATATATTTTAATTAATAACTCGATAATATCTTAACGAAAACAAACATTTTTTTATATAATAATAAAGCTTATAAAAACAGGAATTACAATATTAATTAAATGACAATCGTTAGTTACTTGAAATATACATGATAATATCTATAAAAAGCACCTTATATCTAAATTATTTATTATTTTTAATCGCGTTCTCAAGTTATAAAAGCCGTTATTTTTATATCAAAGCATAACTAAATTAAATGGTATGTTTTGGAAGAGATGATTAATATCTTATTTTTTAATTGCTCATGAGCCAATTTTAAAGTGCTTGAATTTAGTTATGTGAGTATTATTTATACATATACACACAGATATATAATAATATAGATATAACACAAAATTGAAGCTTAAGCTGAGCACAAGCAAGACTTATTGAGCAATTCTCTTACAACATTTCCGATGGTTACATATAACTATTTAACGTGACGCCATCATTAGCTCGCGAGCCATCAAATCCACAAAAATAACATTTATTAACAGAGATTCAGTTTGCATATATACAAAAAATGCGTTTACACTCTCAAAAATATAATTTTATATTACATATGTACAAAATTATTTATTATTTTATTTAATAAGATAACACGATTCTTTTGTGTGACAATATTTAGTAAAATAATTATAATTTAACAAAATATTATGCAATAATATGTAGAAATTAAAGAAAAGAAAAATCTTGAGCTACCCTCCCAGGATATATCTGTTCGCGTATTTTATGGAAAATAGGAAAAATATGATATCAATCTTAAATATTGCGAGAATTTCTGCTTCTACATGTCGATAAGATATAATTTACATTAATACATTTTACGCGCGTTTAAATCAGATATTGAAAGATCAGTCCCACAATTTCACACTGTTTAAAAAAACTGTGTCTGTAATAATAGAGACAGTTAAAAAAGATCAAATAATTCAATTTTCTTAGTAATTGAATAATTTTGATACTTAATTAATAATTAATCTCATACTATAATGATATCACTTCATAGAAATAGACTTTTAAAACAGATGAGAAGAAAATCTATTTCTGACGTTACATTAATTAGCAAAATCAATTTTAATGTAAAATTTCAAATATTAAAAACAGTTAAGAAATATTATTTTTGGGATATGTATATGTATATCTTTAATTGAATATGCGTGTGATATCGATGAAAAATAGTGACGCGTATCATTAGTGTGTATATGCATCATATATATGTATATATATATAATATATATATACATGATACACATTAAACAAGCTGCTTCTCCAAAACTATTTTATAAAATTGTTAATCGAATTTATCGTACCGTCGGAAAATAGTTTTCTCTCTATAAGATGTCTACGCAACGAGAAACTCCTCAGGTAGGGTGATTCAAACTTTGTTCTTTTCCGCCTCAAATCTGCAAGGTTTTCTAATATTACATCAAATTTCTCTTATAGATATACAATGCAATGTGACTTCTAAAATATGTAAGTGTATAGGCATAAAGGAAATTGTATTCGCTATGCTATAATTATAAATATAATTGCAACTATATGTATATGGCCAATCGCTTTTTTTTATGCCGGTGTGAAGTTAGCATCTCAAAATAAAAAATCAAAAATTTTAACAAGAGTTCCGTTTGCACCCCAAATACTTCCTCAAATATAGTTTGATAAGTTTTACAAAAAGTTCCGGCCTTTAAATAATTTTATTATTTAAATATTTCCTATTTCTAATATCTTGGATGTAAGGCATGTAATACTTAATTTTTTTAATCTTGAACTTCATACAATGTGTGCACTAACACGTTTTCATGATTGTAGTTTAAAAACCCCAAGTAGTTTATTTTTAGGTGGACCTTTTTTACGTGGAATGCCCCTAATGTATCATTCTCTCCCAAGAGGAGAAATATTATACCATTACACAACAATTTTTTAATATAGATTATGCAAATTTTATAAAAATATGCAAGTTTTGCGAAGAAAGATATGAGGTTTCAAAATTCTAATGGATTATCTGAAAAGCAAACATAAAAGGAAGTTTTAAGACCCCATAGTAAAATTAAATTAATTTAATACAACATTCAAAATTCTAGTGGATCATTTGAACGACAAACATAAAGAAATTTTGAGAAAATCTTAAAACTTCTTTTTTATGCCATTCAAATGATCCATTAGAATGTTAAATTTTTGATTTTTTATTTTAAGGAGCTAATTTCACACCGGCTTTTCTTATGTAAAGGCTAATAATATAGATAAAATAGTGACGTTAAAAATACTGGTAATATATTTATGCGAATAATATTATGCAGAATAATAGTATTGCAGCGCGCGCGGATTTATTTATAAAAAAATATTGTTTTGAGATAAAAATGATACACATGATAAACAAGTGCTACTATATAATGCGGCAGAAATGCGATTGCAAAATCAAAATATATTTAATATAAAATCACACAGAATTAGTATTCAAGACATTTCAAACGTGCATACAATTAAGCTCAAACAACACAAGTGCTCACTCAAAGGAATGTCTTTTCGTTGAAATTGAAATTATATATAATAGTAAACTTTTCAGAACTCTCAAGTTTTTCACGAATAATACATTTATAAAATAAAGACATAAAATAATGATTTTAATATGTATGTGTCATTCTCTATCATAAAATATCCTGTCACAAAATATAAATTATAATATAAAAATTATACTAATACTTAAGATTAAAAATATTACTTAACGGTTAACGCGCGTTTAAACTTAGAAATGACTCACATAGCTGTCTTATGCAAAAATAATTATATGTCATTCTGTTTTTCTCGGTCTTCTTTCTTTTGTACATAAACAAAAATGATAATATACGCCACTGGAAGCAACAAAAATAATAAAATTTTTCAAAAAAGAAATAAAAGGCACCATGCTTTGTAGCAACATGATTGAACGGCAGACTTCTTCATATTATTATTCATTTTTCTAGTATTTAATTCAATTTTGTTTATCGAAGAATCGATTGACTTCCTGGCGTTGCCAGGATTACTGTATTCTTCTTTGTTAATATTATTGATATGAGGAAATTGAAAATATAAATTGGTCGCATTGTCTCGTTCATGTATACACAAATCAATATTACACATTTTCTTATCCTTATTATCTACATCCGTCATTTTTCTTAAATGACGTTTTAAATTTATATTAACGTCAGAAAATGCTGTCGGTAACGCGTCATTATTCTGCTCGATATCGTAGTTTTTAAAACGATCAAACTTTGTAAATTCGTCTGTACAAATGTCTATAAAAGGCTGATAATCGATACTGTCATCGATCCATTTGTTTTTCCACGAATCGTCGTTAGTTTGCGAATTGAATTCATTAGGGTAGAAAATATCTCTCTTGCTTGTGGGTTTCTTTATCTCAAAATCCTCGTTGTAGTAATTATAATTCGCCAATTGATTATTCAATTCATTCGGTTCATTATCGCGAGGCGAATAAAGCGTGTCACGATATTTGTCTTTAGAAAGTATATTCCTTCTGCCACGGAATGTACCGGACCAGTGATATTTCTGACTTTTGCCAACGGTGGAGAATTTCATTCGTTGGACTTGATTAGGTCTTTGAATCAAACGCTCCATTAAGTTTTTATTGATTGAGTTCTTTCTAGAAATTCGACCGGTCGTCACGCTTTTCTTCGTGGGAATGGGTTTGTCGGGCGTGTGAAGAAAAATATTTGAGTCCTCCTCGTTCGAACTGAAATCCATCTCATCCTTCCAGGGAGACTTCAAAGGACTCTCCGCGGCTATATCTCTTATTGTTTTTAAAACTGTCTGCGTGTCAGTGCTGTCCGATGTGCTGTCGGTGTCGTTTATTGTTATCGTGTTTATTGAACTGCTGCCTCCCCGATGATTTAACGCGTTGATCGAATTTGCCTTAGTCTTACTGCGCGAATCTGTCATAAAATGCGATGCTCTGTGATACCGATAAGTACAGCGTTTCGTATTTTGGGATCTTTACTACTATAGTTATTAACGGAATAATCTTAAAACGTTATCAAAACTCACTTAAGAGTACTTATCGTCAGGCATTGTGAATTTTTATTATATAAATCTTCGCAAATAACCTGATGTTAATTTTCCCCCTCACTCGATGTATATACCGACATTAATATTTTATTCTCAAAAATAAATCTTGATATATTAAGAAAAAAAAAGAAATAATCCACGTGATAAGAAATAATCCACGTGATAAGAAATATTGTACATGAAACGACACATGTAAATATTTCATTCTTCTTAACGGGAATGCACCGTTCAATATAACACAGTACAAAAATCGAAAGTGATAACGGGAAGCCAATAGAAAAACGTAAACGTGCAAATGCAAATAAATTCATCTTACCTTCTTGATCATAGTCCACTTCGTGAGTCGCGCTGAACACACTGTGCGCGTCGTTAAGGAATTTAGTTGTATTATCCATGACCAGTTTGTGCGTATCCAACACTTCTTCTTCGAGCATCTGCAGAGCAGATACTGCCTCGTGAAAAGTGTACAGATCTTGCGAAAGTTCACCTTCCTGTAAACAAAAAGATTATTCATGCAAAATTGTAAATTATGCTTTTGTCTGTTTTGATGTATGTGCGTATGTATGCATTTTCTTCAGTTATGTAATAACTAATATTTTGTAATTATTTTATAATTTAAATGTATTAATTTTTATAATTTAAATAATACCACATGATTATGATATATATTTTCAAAATTTTATGCAAGTTATAGTCACTTACATTGAGAGATCGAAGCTGCGCCAAATCGCTATCCGATAGAACACTGTTGTTTCCCTGTTCCTCGATCTTCATACCCCGATCGTCGTCCGTCGGTGAAGCTTTTACTTCTGTAGGATCATTCGCTGCCAATTCTTTCACTCGATCAGCGTATCGCAATGTATTCAGCGAATGCTCGCAAGAACTCATCCCAGGACTAATCATTGCTATCTGCATTTACAGAGTATATTTGTGTAAAACTATCTCTTTATCTATTTCGCATAATATTATATATAATTATTAAATAATATTTACCATGCACGTTTTTGATTTTTCACCGATGAAACTATCCCTCAACACTTGAGTCAGCTTGCTTGCTCTAAAAGGCAAATGCGTACCCTTACGACTTAACGCGCGTATGCATTCTTTTAACGCTAATAAAGATTTATTGATCTCAGCACCTTCCATTCCTAAAAATTTCAATAAAAGAATATTAATTATTTAAAAAAATTGAGAAGCAAAATCATTAATTATAAATCATTGATTTATTTCGGTTATGATTAAATGCACATTTACACTCACGAGTTTGTCTATTAGCGGACGACGTGTCAGCACCTCTTTCATTACCAGCAAGATCGATGAGCGAAAACTTGCCGTGTACCTTGTGTGTACCCGGGATACGCGCTATTATTTGGAATACTGCGTGCGATCTCGAAGAATTGGAATTAGCACTTGTCTGACCACTCGTTCTGGCGCTATTTCCGTGTTGTATTAACTTTAATACTTCGTCGCAATTCTCCACGACTTTTTCTGTTAATCCCACTATTTGCACCTATTTTTAAATATGAGAAAAATTTTTAAATGCTAAGAATCTAAATAAATAACAAATTAATCATACATATTAAATCTCAACACATAAACTGAGAACACTATATGTAATACGAATGATTGCAAATTAACATAAATATTCTTTTATACATAATAATAGCAAATGTATAAATAAAACGAATTATGTAATATAAATGATTGATATAAACTTTAATTTATAAGACGGTTATTTTCAGTCAGAATTAATACAAACTTCATATTTTAGAATAAAACAAACCTGCTGCTTGCCGTCTTCCAGAACTCTCAGCTTTTCCTTATCTGCCAAGAGATCAAACACCTTGCCGGAGTAAATCTCAAAGAAGCTAGCGGAAATGACCAGATTCAAAGGCCGATATTTTGCCAATTTCAGCATCTTGAACACGTCTTTGGCAACCATGGCGTAGATACCCTTCTTACAATCTTGCGTTTTGCCGTTGAAGTCGCCGCCCATAGTATGAGTCTTGCCGCTACCGGTCTGGCCGTATGCGAAGCACGTGGCCATGCCACCCTCGAAGATTGTCTGGACCAGCGGTTTCGCTGTGTATTTGTAGACTATCTCGTTGTTACACGTCTCGTCAAACGCGTAATCAAATCTGAAGATCTGGTTCTCGAGATACTTGGTGAGATCGACCTTGGATTTCGGTTCGTGCACCACCATTTGATCCTTACTAGGCACGGTGATCACGTCGATCTCTTTGCGCGTGTGTTCCTTCTTATTAAGCGGACGTTTTCGCACGCATACGGTGATCTGGTGATCCTCCACGGTATCCGTGTCTCGCAATGGCCTGTACTCTATACCATTTTGATATTCTCTGTAAAAGTAAATAGTAAAATTAATACAAGCGACGCAATTAATATGTAATACTTGCTATCAATCACACATAAAAAAATATTCTCCAAACATATATGGATAATATTCTACAAAAATTAATGCACACAATATTTATATCAAGATACGTCTAATTGGAGAAAAAGAGTGTGCACAAGTCATAATATTAATATATTCTTTATCTTAAGAAGTGAGTTATTACATTTCAAATGCAAAAGATAACGAATTAACACACACGAACCTTATCATGGCAAGAAACTCCCAATATGGATTGCCTGGATCCACATTCATCATCGCCTCTTTGATTTCTGCCTGTCGTTGTCTCCTTTCTTCTCTGTTCTTCTTTAGTCTCTCGACCTCCTTCACGACGTTGGATCGTCTACCACGGCCATTTTCTACCTGGGTCTGTTGCTGCTGCTGCTGCTGTAGCTGTTGTTGTTGTTGCTGGGTCTGTTTCTGCTGTTTATTTTGCACCGAAGTCGCTAGATTGTATTGCGCGGCCGTCGATGTCGGTGTCGGCGGTATATTTTCAAGCTCCCGACGTCCCGTAAGACCGGAAACCGAGTCTCCGTGACCGTTCACCGATGGAGTCGACATTATGTTTGTCGGGCGTCCCGTCTGTCGCGATACTTGTTTATTTGAAGTTGCTGAAACATCAGTACGAAAAATTAGTATCGCCGGTATTGTATCGTTCTCCTTATCTTCGATTGTCAGAGGATTAAATTATTTCTAATCCTACGAGAAAGCTGTTCCTTTATATTTAATCTTTTTCATGCTGACGCTTCGAATCTAAAAATTGTTCAATTAATCGAAACGGAACGTTTCTACAAGAAACACCTACTGTAAAATTTATAGTGAATATCATACATTATATTTAATCTTTTCAATTCACCTGTCATTTAACATAAAACCCACAAAATAATTAAATACCCTATCGGACAAATATATTACCGGTGTCGTGGTCTCCGATTCGAAGCGTCAAGATCCGGTCATCGCTGGCGATGTCTGTATTTTCACTGTCGCGGATTTTATTTTTCCTTCTGAAGCAATAAGCGAGAGGATCGAATCTCATGGCGAAGTCTCGTGAATTTCCCAAAAACCGATCGGTTCCGATCGCGAAGTGACGTTTCACCGAGAAGCGAGCGAGACTACCGGCGAGAAGGGTAGATCGAACAGTGTCCGAGAGAGTCGGCAGCGAGAGGTGCAACCCCCTGAACTCGCGAACGTCGTACTGTACGTTCTGGGGTCCTTGCCCTTGTGCCGCCTGCCTTGCATACGGCGCATGAAAACATCGATAGTCACGGTTCGACCATATATAAACGTGTACAACTTGGCTCGTGTCGCTACTTGGCTTATCTAGGTGAAACCCCGGCACATACGTTCGTTTTGGTAGCACGACCACACAAAATTGACTTATCGAACGCGAAAGTTTCACAGTCATCCGGCGCTTATCGGCGCAAAGATCATGGAAATCCTGCTATCGTCCATCTAGATTAACTTGCGATGGTTGAAGAAAATATTGACGAGACAGCGTAAAGCTGTAAAGCTTTTATGATTAGCCTGGTTTCATATTAATTTTATTCACTCCGTTATTCAATGATCTCTGATTAAATTACGCGTTCTGTTGCCGCAATTAAAGTGATATGGAAGATTATTCCGCGATAGAGATCTTTTAAAACTGCGAAAGTGTACAGACATCGCCCGTTATCTCCGTAATTTATTAGGAAATAAAAACATGTCATAATAATTTAACCGATAATTATGTTGCTTATTTAACCGAGTGTGAACGAAGATATGAAAAGATAATCAACGTCGTTTTAACTACGTACCTTTCACTGGAATAGACGGTCTGGTGGAGTGCTGAAAATAAAGAAAACAGACCACGTTCAGTCATTTCATTAAAGAGGACAGCGGTGTTTCTTCGTGCAACGAAGAAGAGGGATGTAGTACTGGCTTTATATTATCTTAAAAAGTGCTGTAAATGAAAAAAATAAAATGGTGCTTCTTTCGAGAGAAGCCGAGTGTATGATACATCCTTTCTTCCGGCATCTACGCTCGTGCGATCTGACATATATGCATGTATTCCGTCAGACGTTCAAGACGCGAGATAAGACGCCGGTTCATCGATCGCCCGTTAATCACGCCAGTGCGTTCTTTTCGTACGTATCGATCGCCGGAACAACACGGTTTTTGACCCACTCTCGGTAATCGCTGCGGAATTCATCATTTCACGTTGCATAAAATTGCGCATCCCCGTGCGAATAAAAATAAAATAATACCGTGTAGCGCGAATTTTTGCCAGCTATTCGTTGGGATTATCCGTTTGTCGTGACTTTGCCGGCGAGTGCGGAAGGGGTGAAAAGAAATGTTAGCGAACTGGTGCTCTATAGTAGCAGGAGTATTTCAGGAAAGCCAATGTTAGGCTCGTGATAGAGAAAGGTGCGAGGCTGCGAACGCTCCTTTAGCATCTTCTTGTGCAGAAAATTTTGTCTACAAAGCAGTTTCGATTATTTCATTTTAAATAATTTTGAATCTCACAGTGACAATGAATAGATTTGCCTTTTTGCAAACGTTCAAACAAAAATATTTTAAATATTTTTTAATAAAAGATATTTATTTCAAAATAATATTTCATGTTAGTTTCAATCAACAGTAAAGCAGTAGCCTTCTCTCTGCAGAATTAAATAACTTCTTCAAATATTGAATCGCATTATAAAGCACGTCTAGTTGCATCATAATTTTTCGTACATTTACTTTCTGATTCAAATCAAATAAAATATGATAAAAAATGTAATAAATAAGTATAATAAAAATCGCAACAAGATATAAAATTGGCGTCGTAAGAGCGAGCATTCTCGAAGATGCTAAGATCAGTTCGGCGACCGAATCGCGCGAGTGTAGAGGGTTGTTACTACTGTGAAAAGATTTGTGTATTGCAATTGTTTTTTTGTTAATGTTGTTGCGGTGATGGGGGAAGAGGTGCGCGTTACCGAGAGACGAGATGTGACTCGTACAGGAAGCGTTGCGGAGGCGAGGCCGTTTCTTGCGGTGTGACCGCCATGACGTCCGAGGGAACCCTCTTCTTGGTTCTCCGACTCGTCGACCCCCTCGTCCTCTTCAGCCGAGGAGTCAGGCTCCTTATCGTAGATCGCGGTCACGATCAGAGTTTTACGTTAAAATCAATCGGACGATTTTTTTAAGTCCGCGATCGACGAGAGCCGCCGAGGGGATCGATGAAAAAGAGTCGTCAAGAAAGATTTTTTTTTTTCGAAGAGGATGACGGACGGCCGAGACGAATTTCGTATTCGAGATCGATTTGTTATCGGTAGACGGCCGATGATCCATCGTAGATACAGAGGTCCATGATAATGAGCAGCGTCCATGGAGGAAAAAAAAGATGTTACCATGTTAGTAATGAAAATTACGCGAGACTTTTTTTTATTGGGGTTTCTTATCGGTCGATGTATCTAGGAGAATTTCTTGCTGCATGTTTATCTATGTTCTATAATATATTTTGTTACATTATAAATTTTTGGATCTTGCAATCGATCTCTCTTTCAAATCTTTTACAATTTTTTTTTTAAATGGATAAATATTTTAAACAACAGAACATCCTTTTCTTCTAACTATAATTTAAAGTTCATTAATTTGTTCTTCCATATGAAAGTGTATAATCTTCCATGTTGTTCCTAAGAAGCTAATTTTAATAAATTTTAAAAGCACATATTTCTTAATTTTCGATTTATATAATTCAAACAACCTGCTTTGGAGAAAATATGTGAATTTTTTCGAGTCAATCTTATACAGTATATATCTAACACATCGCGACTGTCATATGTTGAAAGGCGCAAGCATTATTAATAAACAAAAGTATACAATTTCTTTCTTCTGTAATTTTTAACAATAAAATCAAGATTTATCTTGTAAAATCTTTTTTGTGCAACATTTTAAAGAGATCAAAGAAATGAAAGATTTAACGAACGTGTTCTAATAATAAGCGTAATTGTTTATATGCTCCACGTGACGGAGAAGCCGGAAATATGACGTGATCAGATGTGTCAAATTTAGAGGCCTGTAAAAAATCGACTTACGAGTGACGAGCACGCCTACCTGAAAGACGTACAGGTACTGGAACATGTCTACCGCGTTGTAAACGCTACGAGACGCGAGATCGGATTATTCTTTCCATATTAGGAGCGAGGTTATACCAGGTAGTCCAGGCAACCGGTAAACAGAATTTGCCGGGCCCAGTCGATGATCGACCGAAAATTTACGCGGACATTTAAAACCCTGCGTCGAATTTTAATTTCTCGTAAAGAGATATGTCAGGAATCGCGAAAATTTTGCAAGTTTGCCCATTCAATGTATTATTCGATTTATTTATTTACTGATATCTATTTCCAATGTTAAACTTTATTAATTTTAATCAAGAATTTAATCCACCATTTTTTATCTTCAATATTCTAGGATATTTGTTACAGAAGCTAAATTTCATTTTTAAAAAGTTAGAATTATACTCGATAAAATGCGAGACAGTTCCAATATTTTACTCGAATGGTTCATAATGTGCTATTTGACGCAAATATATTTTGACAATAATCAATTTAACTTATACATACCCTTGCTTTCTAGGATATTTGTTACAGAAGCTAAATTTCATTTTTAAAAAGTTAGAATTATACTCGATAAAATGCGAGACAGTTCCAATATTTTACTCGAATGGTTCATAATGTGCTATTTGACGCAAATATATTTTGACAATAATCAATTTAACTTATACATACCCTTGCTTTCGAGGACGCTAACATGTGATTGTTCATCACCGGTGGTGGTGGTCCCATCTTTTGGTTCAAATCGCGATTCAAGGCGAGAATCGCATCGATTTCCACCTGAAAAAATATCCGAAATCCAAATATTTTTAACACGTAAAATCTTTTAATAATATACACGATTAAAGTCGATCTCAAAGCATATGTAACATTTGAGATTGTCCACTACACATACATATATCATTTAGTTTCCCTTGAGATTAATACAGATTATATGATATATAAAGTAGAACGGAAATTATTTGAATGAAAGTGATACATTTAGTTCTACAGTTACAGATCCGTTCTCAAGCAAATTATACTAATTACCTTTCGGCGTGGAATAAGACTTTGATGAAACATAATTCTTGAAGTAATGTATATTTCCTGGCACAATTAGTTTCGCGAATAACACAAAATGATTAATAAATAAATAAAATCTAGGCTAATATGGAATAAAATAGTTAAAATATTCTCTTGAATCCTTTCACATGTGTAAAAACACAAAATCTTTTTACGCAAAATTATCTATAAAATGTTAAATAAATGTGTAATGGAAAGATTTTCGCTATCTTAGCGATATGTCACATTAAAGAGAAACATATCATATAATATTTTATTCGCGAAGGAAATTCACAGGTCTTATCGCGGTATAACTCGTGTTGCGATTTTTTTGCAAAAGTCACACTCGGCCGAACCGGCTTGACTGACGATACAAGTCTAACTTTCAAGCCTGTCGGAAATAGATTCCCGTTCCCATTAGTGAGCTGCATGTTATCCCCGTGGCATTGCATAAGCATGGAATTGAAAATAGCGAAATAACCGTGACCTACGGATGTGCGGAATTGAAATATTGCAGTTCGGCGCAGTGAAATTGCATGAAGGGAAAACATAGGTCGCGTAACGCAACATTTTTCATAAACAACAAGAATAAACGCGATTGTCACGTTTGATGCAAGTCGTGAACTCGACCATATTGAACGAGATTTTGCATTTTTAGTTAATTCAGAACATAAAATGAACAAAATTGCAATTCGAAAAAATTTAGTTTTATTTATCGCTATAGAAGCATATACTTTCGACACATTATTCGGCTCAATTTATAAATGTTAAAAATTAAAGTAAGAAAATCATATATTTTATTAATATTTTGTATATTATGCATTTTCTTAATTAATTCAAATTTATTCCGATTAATTTTAATAGAAAATTAAAAGTTTCTTTTATATCTAAATTTTTCTTAATATAAAAACTTTAAGTAAATTTTTTTGTAAATACTTTTTTATATTGTAACTCTCTCTCTCTCTTTCTCTCTGATTCTGAGTTTTCATGAGTATTTATGAAACGGAATAATTTATGAGAGCGCACTTACCTCTTTGCCTTTGGTTTCTCCTCTCTCGAACCATTCTACAGTTACAGTACGCTGGTCTAAATTGACACCGGAGACGACTGCCGAGTGAACGCGACCTGGAACAAAAATTGCAGCATATATGTAACAATTGTAATAATAATAATTAGTATAGTTATATAATAAATCTCACAACAGTCGGGTGAATATTCGCGAGCATGAGTTATTTTAAGAGAAAGTATAAAATAAAGCTTAGCTTAAAACGGATTATGCATAAGTTTATGCCATAATAAATTATACTTTTTATCTAACAAGAATATTCTATTATAAATTTTCTTTATTAAATGTATATTATCAACTGTCTTTACGCTCTTAACAATAATGTATATGTACCATTCTGTAAATTTTTCTTTTTATCGCTCTCGCTCTTGATTAAATTCTTTTGCTGCATGGGCGATGTAAGTCTGGGTATCATGGATCCATTGTTCCGAATCCTAGTCTTTTCACTTCGCTCCTCATCCTCGAACGATCGAACCTCGAAACTGCACGAGTTTAATTTCCGCTGAATATTGCTTTGCTCGCTGCTCTTAAAACCAAATTTATTCATTTCTTCGCAGTTTCTTTGCAGTTCCTCATTATCCATGCACGATTCGGCGCAAGACTCCCTTTTGATCGGCGGAAGAATATTCCTCGACTCTTTTCTCGATTCTTTTCTCAACTCTTTTCTCGTTTTTGATTTCATTTTCTCTTTGCTAGAAAAATTGATTTTAGACGATGTTCTATCCTCAAATTTTCTATCAAAGCCGGGTTCTACGAGCACATCCTGTTTCTCCTTGAATTCCGATATCCAGAACGAGCCTTTGAGTTCACCGGGTGTCACTGATCTCAAGACGAACTCGTTCAAATCCGCTTCTTCATGATGCTCTTCCTCGTCCGAGATACACTTGACCTGCTTATCATCTTCGTCGACTGTGTTTGATGCACATCTTGAATGCAACACCGCATCGTCGTAATCGAAATCATATGTTGGCTGATCAAATTCAGTCACGTTTCTTTCCGAAGATTCCTTGCGAAGCTCCTCAAAGTTGTTATGATCGTCATCGATTTGATAAGACCAGCGATTATTCGGTGCATCGTCGATTTTTGTCAAATCGGTTGGATTATTTACATCGATTTGATTTTTCGCGCAATCGTCGAAACAATTAATTTTTCCGTTCGTCCAATCTTTTTTTATAATTTCATTCTCAACTTGCTCATCTTGTAATTTACGCAAAGTTTCGTCGACAAAGGATAACGATGTTTTGTGAGATTTGTTCTGCTTGGATTGCTTCTTGGATTTTTTGTTTTTACTCTTCTTGTCTTTCCCATCTCTCTTATTTTTCTTCTCGTCGAAATTGTTCTTCGTACCACAGACGCAGAGAGATAACCAACCCATATTGAATTTATAGATTGTAAGAATTTATAAATTGATAAAGAAAGTTGATACAAAAATTGAATTTTATAAGAAACGCAACTTATATTATTATATTAATAGAGCGATTTTCTTAGTTACGACACTTGACTTTTTTATTATTCACACAAATACTAAATATCAATAAATTTTGCCAAATTTTATTTCTAACACAGTCTGATATTTATAGTTAAAACAAAATAAAATTTAAATTATTGCAGTTATTTAGTCAGATATGATATATCTTATCAATATCACCGGTTTTTCCAATTTCGTCATATTAATTCCAATGTAATTTTTTTTGCACTCTCATAATTCTCGCAGATTACATTGCTATATCCATCTGATGTCTGCGTGTAACCAGTTCATGCTCTAATTTACATTGTTGAAGTCAATGAAAAGATTGGAGTCACATTCTCACTGTCCCATCATCGATGACAATTTGCTCGAACTGTGCTATATTCTTGCTGTCACGTTTCCTGAATCAAAAGTATCACCGAATCGAAGGCAACGAAGGACTGTAGACTGTTGGCAACTCGCGTGATCGATTCGCCGAGGACGTCTTCGAGAACGTGCAAGTTTAATCCGGACGTTGCCCGCTTCGTGCACGACGCCGCCGCAAATTCTCGGCAGCGTTTTGTTCTGATCTTTAAAAAACGTAGGGAGGCTTTTAGGACCGCGTCGCTCTTTTTACACTGTCTTCGAAACTCGACGAAGCTTCGCGATCGACGATGACCTTTTGGGTACATTTTCACCCGTTCATCCTAGCAAGCTCTTCTCTTCGAGGGCCAAGAATAAACGTGCTTACATAGAGACATGCCCGATATGTATAATTTCTGAGCTTATAGATATGCAAATAACATTGAAATATTGAAAAATTAATCCAAAGTTCAATTCTAAAAAATATTTATTTTTGAATACGTAGTCTTTTAACTTTTGTCACAGAGAGTTAAAATAAATGATATATATATCTCAATTTCTTCTTGTATAGAATCTATTATATTGACAGAAATAAAACATTAAGAAGAGAAAAGAGAAATTGTAATATAATAACATTTATTTTCATATTAGAGTTTCGTCAGATTGGAATCTGACATTTCTGAACAACACAACACTTTGACTGCATTTTCTTCATTTCGCCAAGTTTAAATTGCATTTTTATCGCGCATATAACTCGCAAAATATCAGAAGCGCAATTGTTGCAAGGCGTGTAACGCGACGAGGTGGTTAATAGAGCGAAACTAGGACGGAATAATTAACGTCGCATCAAAAGTTTGCACGTTTGCAAATTGGACGACGCGGCCGTCCGAGAAAATCGACGACGATACGCTCGCAATGTCAGCATCGTGCGACGCGACCTGATCGACTGACAACGTTCACCGAGCAAGCGTTTCATAAACGCATTTATTATGACGCCCGGTGAATATTTTCGATGTAGGGCCCCCACTTCAGAGGGCTCCATAAACAATTTCTCGGCTCGCCTCAATGAACCCGTACGTTATGCACTATCGGTTACGATACCGATGATTCCGCCCGACAAGATGCACGCGAATTATTCGATCAGAAAAAATACCGCTGCATACGCGTCGGACTTTATTTAAAATGCACGAGTATTAAGTGCGCAATTACAAAATGCAAAAGATAATTTGTCAAATTATCACGAAAAATAGAAAGAATTGTCCGCTGTACGATTTTTTCACAAATGTATAATAAAAAGAAAAATTAATTACTATAAATTGAGAAAAAATGATGAAATACATTTGTATTCCTTCTCGACTAAATTGGAGTTTCCTGTGCGTGTCTAGTATACTGAAGGTTAATGTCGCAATCGACAACGCGTAGATTTTTGCGGCACAACCAGCGGCACGAATGTCACTCAAATAATCGATACACAGTAGTCTCCCGGGTCGTAAACGACAAATAATTCAGGGGTTATTTCAGGATGAGGAATTGCCTAAAGTCGCGAGCGAAATCGAGCAAGCTGCGCGATAGTTGAAGGTGAACTGATGCTACGACCGATTCGAATCGTCGATTACACTGCGGACGATAATGAGGAGCCTTAACGGAACCTTGTTAACTATTAGACAGTGCCGTGCGAATTTTTGCGATTGACTTTTCCGGCTACAATTATAAGAAATAAAATTCACACACAAAAATATGTATACACAATTTCATAAATAGATTCTTTGATAAAATGGATATCGATTTGTCTTCGGCAAAAATTTCTTGGTATTTATTATAGATATATCAATAATAAAAATATTTTCATAAAAGAGTACATACTTTCTCGATTAAAAATTAATACAAATATTTATAAAAGATATCAATTTTTGCATTAATTTTATGTTGATACTTTATTAATTTAACTTGTTAAAAAATTTGTCTCAGAAACTCGTGAACAATTTCGAATCAACAAAAAATCATAAATAATGTTATTTATATGATTAAAATAATGTATAATAACAAATTTCAATATTCCAAACTTTGAAAGAAAAATAAATATATTTCTCAATCGATCTTCTATGAGAAATGTAACACTAGACTCATCTATTCGCGATATGTGACTCGAGGCTCTCAGTGCGTGACCAACCTATATTTATTTACAGTGCACTCGGAAGTCGAGCCTTTTCTATGTAGGTACACATGCGGAGACGATTACTACATCGCGGAAATGCATCGTGCCCCTTCGACAGGTATGATCGCCGTAAGCATCTTTTTCCGCTCAACGTTTTAAATTTTTATATACGAATAATACTTGAAATTTTCATTACCCTAATGCTATATATGTAATTTTAGATTCTTATTTAATATTAATTATTTCAAGTAAAAGCTTTAAAATTTTTGTCAAAAATATGAAACTACGAAATATGAATTATTATTTTTAAACAATTGTAATGGTTATAATTTATAATAATGAATCAGCGATTTGATTGATGCTAATCTAACTACCTGTTTTATGCAATGCAATCAGCTATCTATGATGTAAGATCGAAAGACATGATGGAAATAACGATGGACGATAGGCACGCGTCGTTGCATCGATTTCGATTCAAATGCATTACAGTCGCATCCCGATTAAATAAATTTAGCATTAAAATGCTACGTTCGGGGGACCAGCAGCACGGTCTATTAAACATTAAATTTAAGCAGCAGCTTCCTGCCGCAGATCCGTCGTGTGTAAAGTGCGCATAGAGGATGTTACATCGGTACGTAAAACAAGAAATATCACTTTGTACGTACTCTGTTTGATTGTATTTTCATTGTTAATATCGCTTTAAAAAATTGCCCAGGAAAGTGGAAATAGAATGCCAATAATACAAAATATCTCATAAATCTAGTAGCTTATATACAGCATAACGATTAAATCAACAAGAATTGCATTACCGAAATCTCTGAATAGCTCTTAAATTACAAAAATTAATTGAATTCTGGAAAAACAAACATCCAAATAGATAGTAAAGCTTCTTATAAAAAAAAAACAACTAAATGAACAACAACTAATGAGAGAAAGAAGATTTATTTGAAATGAATCAAATCAAAGAAAATAGAATCTTTCAAAATAGAAATTAATTCCCTTTTTATTTTTGACATATCCCTACTGAACTTTTATTAGTTTGCCAAAATTTACCAAATGGTTAATTCGTTCTAATAATTTCTACAAGTGCCAATTTAATCTTATTGAAGTAATGTATCTTAATTTATCGTAAGATAGTCGCGTCTGATTAAATAATGCACAGAGAAGATAAATATAGATATGAATATATATATCAATAATTATATATAATTGCGTGGAAAAAAAGAATGTACGTTATTCTTTAGTTTCTGACAATGGCACAAAGGACCGCCACTTACAAGAGAACTCGAGCTTACCGACCAGACCAAATCGAACTCGAATATAAAAGCTCTTCAGCTAGGTTACCAACGGCATCAGTGCTGAACAGCTGGTTGCTACGTCGAGCAAGGTTGAACTAGGTACATGTCGACCTCGAAGTACTGCATATAGGCATTATATACTGTATGCAGACCTGCGCACAATTGCACTCAAAGCGCCGATAAAGAAGAGAAAGGAAGCAAATTGGATTTTTTTCATAAATTACATAAATTATTTCAACAGGATTAACCTTGCACTTGTAGAAATTATTGGAACGGTTCAAATTCTGGCAAACAAATCAACAAATTTTAATCTCTCTCTCAATATCTATTTTATTGCATCTCAATTCGACTTCGCATAAATTAAATTGTAGAAAAAATCAGGGTAAAATATTTTTAAATTAATAATATTAATAATAAAAATAAATTTTTGAACAGAAAAATTTCACATTATGTTAATTAAGTTTAATTTACTATATTGTAATATTTATGATGTTAATATCGCACCTCATATTAACTAAATGATATTGATTATGTCTGTTATATATTCATTATGCTTTTACATCCATACTCTCTGTATAATAAATGCTGCCGCTTTCGCAAAATGTGTAGCAGCCGCAAAAATGTATGCATATTATGTCATCATTTTCGTATGTAAATTTTACAAATAATCCGCGCTGGATATGAAAGACAACATGTAAGTGCATTCGCGACGTTACTACGTATGTTAGATTTATGTCTTTCAATTAATAATGTTTGTGCTTTGTGTTAAATGCTTTAAAATTTATTAAAATCTATAAAATCCAAAAGTAGGTCAAGTTTTATTCTCATTATCAAGGTACTTGGTATCAAAATTATTTATATGCAACATGTAAGATAAAATAACAGTAAAAAGTTTCATTCAGAGCAAACCGTTAATATAGATAATACCCCTATGTAATTAGTATTTTATCCATGATAAACGGTGCTTCGGATAACTGTATAGTAATTATTGCACTTTCGAACAATGTTGTCGAACTCGCTGTTCAATGCTTTCCTCTTTAAATCTCTGCTCATTTCGCTCATTTGTTTAGCTATAATATAAGTTATCTCATTCTCTACTCACTTGCTCTGCTAATAGATATATACATTCAAATTATATAGAATAATGTATGTGTGAAATTGACATCTCATTTTGTAGAAACCCATAAATAATTCAAAATTCTGAATAAACTGGACATAATGAGCAAACAAAAATTTATGGATTAAATTAAGAATTTAATTTTTTAAAATTTGAAGAGCTAATATAAGTTAGACTCTCCAATTTCTTTTAATAACTATTTTTCTAGAGATGTGTAAATAACAATTCTCAAAAACGACAAGCATAAGCAAACAACGTACAATCAAGTGACAAATAGAAATTTAATTATTCCGAAAATTAGGGGACTGCGTCACGTAGGTGTCCATGGAACTATTGTGTATTGTGTGGCGTCTCCCATTTACTTTCTATCGCGTTGTGCACTCGTTCCAGTTTCATCCGAGACACAGGGCACCGTGAGCGGCACTTGAGGATACGTATGCGGAACGCACATTTTTCTCACCAATCATCTTCCCCTTTCGAGGTCCTCTAAGAGGTCGAAATACGTGTAGGCGCATAAGAAGGCATTAAATATGAAGCGAAGCGAGCTCTTTATAGTGATATATGAACTCTGTTTTAGATAATGACTTTTTATATTGATATATGAACTCTGTTTCAGAAAATAAGATCATTAAAGTACGGATCTTTCGATAAACCTGATAATACCGAAACTAATATCGCGCCCACACACTTGTAATTTTGAACTAGTCAATTCTGAAAATACATTTAGAAGGGCGTTTTTAAGCTAGAACTTTATTTAATGTTTCGAATGTATCTTTATATTTAACCAGTGCGATAAATATCTTTCTTTTTAGCGCGTGCGTGTATGTAGGCAGGACTTCAGCAACGTTGTGGCAACGAGGGAAAGTGGAATTTAGGCTGCACGCAGAAGGATGTACTCGCGAGCGAGGGAACAGATTTCGTGAGGATACAGACACTAGAGCATTCGACGCAAACGGCAAATGACGTAAGATAAGATAAGACAAGGTGAGGAGGTTTGGTGAGCCAAGAGAGGCTCCTCATGGGCATC